CCCCCTCGCCTCGCCTCGCCCCTTCTCGATGGAAACCCGCTTTTCGCCCCGGGACCGCTCCTCGCCACTGGCCTTCCTCCCGCCACGAGACTTCTCGCCCCGCGCGTTCTCCTCTCTCCACGCGGGCGCGAGCTTCTGGGTGGGCACCCCCTCGATCCTCACCTCCTCGCCCCGCTTCTTCTCCCCTTCCCTGTCCATGCCCTTAACGCCTACCTGCTCTACGCCCCGCCCCTCCGAGGACCGCCCCTGCTCATCGCCCCGCTTCTTGTCTTTGCTCCTCCCTACTCCGCGTCCTGCCCTTTCTCCGCCCCGCCCCTGTCTCTCCCTTTCCCTCCGCGGCCAAGTCCCAGACCGTCTTTCTTTTCCGGCTCTTCCCCTCCTCGCCCCCCCCTTCCCTCCCTCTCCCTAGCCCCTCCCTGCCCCCAGCCTCCCCCCGTGGGATGGCTCCGCCCTCTTCTCCCCGCCCCGCCGTACCAGTCACTTGGGTAAAACCGGTCAACCGTCGCTTGGCCGCACCAGTCCCGCCCCCTTGCCCGGTCTCAAGATGGCCGCCCGCACTTCCACCCCGACTTCCGCCCTTCCAGGCACGCTGGCCTCGCGCGCCGGTCTCCAAGGCAACGCGCGTCCCCAGCCCGCACGAGGCTGAAGGAGCCGAGGCCGGCGCTCAGGGCCCGGCCGGCAGAGGGGGCTGGTGACAAAGTTTGTGCTGGGCAGGACGTCGAGGAGTTCTCGGACGGTCCTGGCAGCGTGCACCGTCCCTGCTTGTCCTTACACCCAAAAATTCTGCTGAAAAAAAAATTTGGAGGCGGGCGCCGTGGCTCAAGCCTGAAATCCCAGCACTTTGGAAGGCCGGCGCGAGAGGACTGCCTGAACTCAGGGGTTCGAGACCAGCCTGGGCAGTTTGGGGAAACCTCGTCTCTACAATAAATCAATAAAAATTAGCCGGGCGTGGTGGCGCACGCCTGTAGTTCCAGCTACTTGGATGGCTGAGGCAGAAGGACCGCCTGAAGCCAGCAGGTAGAGGCCTCGGTGGCCATGAGCCTGTCACTGCATTCCAGCCTGGCGACAGAGTGAGGCTCCGAAATAAAAAAATAAAAAATAATTAAAAAAACTTTTGGTCTCCTAGAGACCTTTCGGAAATGAATGAATCTGTGGCTAAACATCGTCCTCCACAAGACAGGACGAGGGCAGCCATTTATTTATTTATTTGAGTCGGAGTCTCACTCCGTCGCCCAGACTGGAGGGCAGTGGCCGCTCCCGGCCCCACCGCAGCCTCCACCCGCCGGGCTCCGGCCATCCTTCCGCCTCAGCCTTCCGAGTAGC